TTCATTACTGTAAGGAAATTCATTCTTAACCTCTTTATACATTACGTTATTCACTGGGCTTTAGCTCACTGCTCATATATAGATGTAGGTGTACAGGCACCAGATCGCGGCTAAAAGCGTCGGGGTTAAGCTCCAGTTTTGTCAAGCCAACCACTGTGCCTCACTGCGAGGTTCCGAGCCTGTCAAGCTAAGGCTATGGGGTGTTTTAGTTTTCCCCCTTCTGTTCTTTTTTGTAAACTGTAGACTGTTACCGTACTGTTTAATAGGGATTAGGTCCCTGAACTGAATGATTGTATGTATATACATACTATTTGTCACTAACTGCATATATGTATGAAAAAGTCTTTTGCTTACAGACTGTCACGGCTCATTGGACATTGTTTATTTACTGTATTAGCTTCCGCCAGGCCCCTGTACTCTGTTTTACTGTATTATTGTTAAGCAGGCCTTCGGCAATCTCGGATTACTGACTGGTTACGGGTGCTAAACCCATAGGGGCGGGTTTGGATCGTGACAAACCTCTTCCTCCCCTTCATCATTTTCCTCCATCTTTGCCCATGGGTGGTAATTCTATTCCTCTGCCATTGATGAATCCCACATATCATGTAAATGTTAGTACAATGTATGTATTTATTTTATGGATATAATATGTGACTCAACCTATGATTGCGACACCTTCTTTGCTAATTTGCAGGACATGTATGTAGTGCATAATTCTTTGCCAAATTCAATGCCTCAACGGTATCCTGCTGACTACTGAACCAACATTTCAGTCACTACTTCAAGGTTCATATGGATATGACATTGTGTTTCGATATTCTCAAGAATCAAACAGTCCAATGTGGGGTCAGGTTTGTCTTTGCTGTCTTTTGAATTTATAGTTGCTTAAAATTCTGGATTTTGAGTTGCTGAAAATTCTATTTGAAGTATGTCTTTAGTTGTTGAAAACCACAATAGTTTTTTTTTTTCCAATTAAATTATGTCTTTGTCCATTTCAGGCTATGGACAAGCACAAAGACAAGCAAACTGAAGATGAAAATGGCATGCAAAGTGAAGTCATACCATCTCAAATTATGAAGCAAACTCATGCTGGATTGCTGCACAAATTCTGATGTTGCTGAGAAGTGAAGTAATGGCCTTCATGTGTGTTCAAATGCCTTGCTGGCTGGAAAGTGATGTTGAAATTGCTATTCAAACTCCACTCCAATGTCTGTTGAAATTGTGTTAAGCATGTGTGCTCAAACTGCTGTTGTATGTGTGTTGAAATTCTGATGTTGCTGGAAAGTTAAGTAATGAGAATGATTGTGTTTTCAAATGGCTTCTGAAGTAATGCCTTACTGGAAAATTCTGTGTACCTGTATGTATGTTAATGGCTTGTAAAATCTTGTAATGGCTTGTACATGTATGTATGTGTTAATGGCTTGTTGACTGCTGTGAATGGTATGCTAATGATAGAACCAAAATATGCCATAACATGTGTTGCATCTGCTGGTTCTGGCCTGGTCTGGCCTGCATAACAGGTGCCATAATGTGCCATAACATGTGTTGCATAACATATGATCACCAAAATGTGCCATAACATGTGTTGCATCTGCTAGTTCTGGTCTGGTCTGGTCTGGTTCTGACCTAGTCTGGTCTGGTCTGGTCTGTATTTGCTAGTCTGGTCTAGTCTGCATCTTCTGGTTCTGGTCTGGTCTGGTCTGGTCTGAATCTGTTATAGTTCAACACACCCCTTGAGAGAATTCAAAATAGTATCAGTTTTGGCACTCAACAAGGCTTGGTAACAGATAACAATGCTGTCTTGGTTTGTGATTGTGTTTTCAAATCGTAACAGATAGGCTTGGTAACAGATAGTATCAGTTTTCAAATGGCTTCTAATTGTGTTTTCAAATGCCATACATGGCTGGTAACAGATAACAGTTTTGGCACTCAATAAATAAGTTGTGGCATAAAACAAATAGCAATGCTGCAATGTTGCCATAACAGTTTTGGCACTCAATAAATAAGTTTTGGCATAAGTTTTGGTAACAGATAGTAGTTTTGGCACTCATTCTATGGTTTTGGTACAGGTTCATGGTTCTGCTAGAGCTTCATTCCATCATTCATTCATCATTCATTGATAACAAATAACAGATATACTGGATCTGCTGCTGCCATACTTAGAATTCATTGAACATGATCTTCTGCTGCCATACTTAGAATTTCATTCATTCATTCATTCCAAAATTCCATTCATTCATTCATTCCAAAATTCCATCATTCATTCATTCATTCCAAAATGTGCCATACTTCATTCAGTAGATAATAGATAATTCATTCATTCATTCATTCCAAAATTTATTCATTCATTCGAAAATGTGCCATACTTTGTACAAAATTTATTCCAAAAGTCATTCCACCATTCATTCCAAAGTTGAGGCCACCAGTTGAGGGAAATAGATAATAGATAATAGATAACAAGTTCATGTACATACAACCCAAAATGCTACAAACTTCCAAGTTACATCATAAAGTAGAAAATGGTAGAAAATACAATGAAGTACACCATCGCTTTGATATTCTTTTCCATCTTTTGAAGTTTTCAACCATAGTTCGTTTCCATGTAATCAAGCCTCGTCCTTACATCGTTAAAGTCTTCTACTATTATACCATCACAAGCTGTACAGTTCGAATGGATTCTGGACGTAACGTCTTCATCATCTTCATCTTCATCCATGAACTTGAAGTAATTGCAATGGGGAGTGAGAGTGTTACTCTGCAATGCATGAGAATAAGTTAGTCGAAGAAGACAAATATTAATGTGACTACTAAACAAAGAAAATAGCTAGAATTACAAACTTACATTTCTTGATAGGCAAACAAAGAACAAACGCCCTTCATTTCCATTCTCATTAGTTTTTACAATACGTATGGCAGCGGTTCTTCCACAATTGCACAGCCTCGGTTGTAATCTTATGTTGCTAATGTTAGAAGAAGAAGCCATTTTTCAAAATCTGCATACATGACAAATTTTTGAACCATGGTAGTTCTATAGAGGAAAAGGGACATTTCAGCTTTGAAATGGTAGTTCAAAAAAAGCCATACTGTGACTTTTGAAATGGTAGTTCAAAAAAAGCCATAGTTTAGGTAACCCTTTTAAAATTTGGCAATCTATATAAGACTAATTTAACAGAAGAATTTGTCACATTTCAGCTTTGAGAATTACTATGAATTACTTTGAGACTAATTCAAAGAAAGACATACTGTGACTTTTGGCAAAGCAAGGTTCCTTACTTGACAAAGAAAAATGTAATATAATGAAGTAATTTTTCTTTACTTTAATTGATTTCTATTTAATCAATTTGAATCTCTGAAATCTGGATTTTCAAATGTAACAGCAGGGTTCCCAAAGAATCTGCAGCACAATTTTTACTTCATTTTTCAAATCAATTACTTAAAAAAGTAGAAAAAATTTTATTTTGTAAGCCTTCGCACAACATAAAATAAAATGCATAAAAACATTAGTAATACCCATCCATCCAATGCAAAAACAGCCATAAAGCCATTATATTACTGTCCCTCTCAAACTAACCCAAGTTTGGTTGAGCATACAAAGGAGATGACATTAAAAAAAAAAAAAAAAATTTCATAAAGACTTGCAACTTCACATTATCAAAAGACTTGTTTAATATATTCATTCACCTATCATTTCCATTCTCATTGGTTTTTAAGTGATGGTTCAGCTAAACCAAAATGTGCCATACTCAGATAATTACTTCAACTATCATTTCAAACACAGAACAAACTACTTTCAAATACAATAATTAAGTTCAACTATAATTAGTTTTTCAACTATAATCTGAAAACTTAAGTTCAAACTAGTGTCATGGATATCATTTCACAGGAACTCTAAAACAATTCTTTACAAAATCAAGTAGAAAACAAATCAATTTGTCAAACTAATTCATCCAAAACCCACAAAATCACACCCACCCTGAAAGCCAAATCAAAGCCCAAATCAACACTGATTTTCCTAATTCATGTCAATGTTTCAGAGATTTGAAATCAAAGCCCTAATTTCTCAATCCCAAATCAAAGCCCTATTTTCTGTTCGAATCCCTATTCGAATCAAAGCCAAATCAAAGCCCTATTGTCTGTTCGAATCCCAAATCGAAGCACTATTTTCTGTTCGAACATGAAATCAAAGCCCTAATTTTCAAAATTAAAAGATATTTTCTCAATCTCAATCACACAATCCTAACATCTTCATTTTAGAGTTTCGAATACTAACCTGGTTCCTCTATGGTCTCAGAACCCACGTTCCTAGAAGTGGGTTACCGTCTGGGTCGCCGGTGCCGTCGGAGGGACTGGTCGTCGGTGAGAGTGGATTCGGTGGAGGGAGACGTGTGAGTGGGAGGATTGCAAGGTTGAGTGAAAGTGAGAGTGATTCTCATATGAATGTATAACTATAGCGGCGGGCGGAAAGAATCGAAATTTCAATTTTTTTTTTTATTTTTTTTTTATTTTAATCTCAGCCGTTGCAAGGACGCTTGCAAGTATGGCTTTGCAAGGAGAGGATCTGCACCCCGGTGCACCTGCCATCAAAATTTTACCCTCTTTTTTATCATTTTTTTTTTTTTGGGATCAATGGAGTAAAACTTAATTAAATAGTAATTTTACCTAATGATATACACTTCAGATCTATCTTGTATCTTATTTTTGCAAAATTCTTGTGTGTTTCTAATACTAATTGTTTTTGATTTTATGTTTTTAAAAAGACAATAAAGAAGTTACGTCACACAATGATAAAATTGAAACTCAATATCACGATAAGGATTGCTTCATTAGACAGGTTAACCCCGTGCTCTCCCCTTTCTAGTATAGCATACAAAATGCATGTATATTTTACTTCCTTGGAATTAACTGGTGTCATTTTGGAGCTTATAGGCTATGTTTGGATAATGAATTTAATAAGCAATTGGAAAGCTTCTCTTTCCAAAACCCATGATCTAAACGCAACATAAAAGAAAAACATTCAGTCGCTATTTAGGAAAAGGAAATAAAGTGAGTACCCATAAACATATTTCAGTTACTTTCTTCACAGAGCTTAACAACAGTGCAACAACCAACTCTGCTTATTTATCAACCTTCAGAGCTTTGTCAACCATTGAATTGAACTACGTGGTTTAGGAAAACATGTTGCAGTTTTGCAAGAATAGCTTTCCAGAAGAGATTGAAGTCACAGATGCACTTCTCAATAAGGAACACGGACTCGAACGGTATGGGGACCAGATTTCATGTCATCCACAATGAGGTTTAGGAGAGCCAGACTCACCGGCCCTTTTTAGGTAACAATGAAACAGATTTGGATTAATCAAACTAACAAATAGTGCACAGGCAGCCACTTCAGGAAGAAGAAGGTATTTTTGTTTTCAATCCTAAACCCCTGGGAAAACTTGTTTAGCAAATTGTTTCTGAAAACAGCTAGCTTTTTGAAAACACCAAAAAGTTGTTTTCAAATTTTTGATAACTGATTTCCCACAAAAAACGGAAATGATGTGAAAGTGATGGATTTGTTTGAACTTTTCACTATTTTTGTTTCCAAAAACATGAAAAATGAAAACAAAAACACAATCGAACAGGCTAAGTATTGTTTTAATTTCATTTTCCAAATAATTGCTTTAAGTCCTTTTTGAGTTATAAATATCGAGAAAAGCTTTAGAAATCATATAGAAAATTTTTGTACAATCTTACTTGGAAGATATTAGTCTGTCCCTGGGGTTACCATCACAGCACACCTCTAATCTGTGTTTGGATCTTGAGTTTGTAGCGAGATTTGTAGAGGAAAAAGAAAAGAGAAGAGAATGGAAAAGATAAATGAAGTAGAAGATTCTCTCTCTCTCTCTCTTCCTACTTATTTCACAAATCCCTCCACAAATCCAAGATCCAAATATAGCCTTACACACTTCCAATACATTTACCAAAACTAAACGATTCAAGTGTTTCAAACTGAATCACTTCCAAGGAACCGAAAGTTACACAATAATTTGCAACTAGCATGCAAATAGGGATCAAAATAATTTATTTGCAGATGACAAGAAATAGCAATGAGTTCTTACCATCACCAATGATCTGTTCATCCCATTGCAACACAGAGCGAACAAGAACACCGCTACCAATCAGCATCATCTCATCCGCTCCTTTCCCTTCCTCCACAGTGACATTTCTGACCCTTATTCCCCGAATTTTCCCCTCCTTCACCAGCCCCTCGGCAAGAACCAAAACTCTCCTAGCTGTGCATCCGCTAAGAATTTTGTCAAAGTGAGGCATCAAAAGCTCCTTCTCTTTAGTAACAAACGCAACATTCATGTTAGGCCCTTCGGCGACATACCCTTCTTGGTCCAACCAAATCGCCGCATACCCTCCATTTTCTTCAGCTTCCATTTTCGAAAGCACATTGGGAAGGTAATTCACACTCTTCATGATAGCAAATTGAGGGGGCTTTATTGGAATTGATGAAGTTACTACTTTCACACCTTTTTGATCGGATGGCGATTGATCTTGGATTACGATGGCATAAAGAGAGGGTTTACGACAGTTGGATGGGGATAGTTGGAAATCACCCGTATTGATGTGCTGAAAGCCAGTATCTTAGTGATCCTTGTTTGCATTTTGAAGAACTCACGGTTTGAATGAGTATTCGTCTTATGCTTTCCCTATCAAAAGGAAGGTTTATTTTTGCCAGTGTCGCTGACCTTATGATTCGATCAAGGTGTTGCTCCAACTCATATAGATATCTAGGATGCAGAGAAGGAGGAATATAATGCATTCAGTAATTAGTTTGAAAATTAGAAATTGTTCAGAGACTTGCTTATTTCTTAAACTGAGAAAAGAAAAGAGTTAAATTCTGTTCATTTCGTAACTCTTCCTTGTGGAGGGAAAGGAAACAGTAAGGCAAAAAAGTGAATGAAATATAAGCTAAATTTTGTTCACTTTTCTCTTTTTTTTTCCTTTGTCTTTCCAAATCCCTCCTCAAATAAATTGGTACAGTCAATTGTGAAGCAAGAATCACTAACCCGTCCATTATTGCAGCAGTATCAAAAACCCCGTGTCCTCTATGAACCATGTGGTCGTCCATGGGGATCACCATTGCCGCTGAATCAGTTGTTATTCCACCATAAATGCTAGAATACATAGCCAAGTATTGCTGCTTGCTTTTGTAACTTTCTTGACTACTTCTCAACCTTTCAATGGCCTTAACAGACACACGAATAGCACTCTTAACAAAATTATCATCGGACCATTGGTTATACACTGCTATTAGATTCAAACTACATAGTTTAGAATCTAGTTTCAGCTTCAATTAGAATAAACGTTGAATGTATCAGTTCCATTTCAACTAATCAAATCTTTCTCTTAGTAATCTACTTCCAAAATTTGTTATTTATCTTTCTTTTTATTGTTTGGATTTTCACAGCACTTGAAAATCAAACTAACATATCTATCAAGGTTGGCCTAGTCAATGAGGTGTCCCTTACTAGGCATGATGGCCGTGTTCAAGTCTCATAGTTGCGTGATGTTTCCCCTATTCCACTCCTATCAATTGTAAAATATATATATATATGGCATATGCATAATTTGATGCAAGTATATATATATACAATATAGGTAGAAGAGACAACCTCTGAGCAAGAAAGAAGTGGGACATCAGATATTTGAGTAGATTCTGCCACAACAAACACCAACATTAGTCTTAAAAATCCAAAATTAACTGTCCCAAGCCAGAGACAATGTGGAATTACAGTACACAAAATGCAGAGTACATTGTTCTGTATATTCCCCTTAAACCAAACACCATATAAGCATGTTTGGTTGTGTTTCCTTTTTTTTTCCTTTAATATTCGACATTTGAAAATAAGCATGGAACTCTTGTGATTTGTGGACTAAAACTGTGTAACCGAACAGATTAAAATGTTTTTTGCATAAGTAACCTCTTTGGGTAAACCGTACACATTTTCATCATCTTTTTGGGATACAATTTTATGGGTTTTACACTTCAAGTAATTTAGATAGAATGTCGACCGTACATTTTAGTCCACAAACTATATTTCCAAATAAAAGGGCAAACCACATAGAGTAAACCATAGTGTTATTTCTAGTATGAAAATAATTTTCAGATATTAAAAAACAATGAATGTTTTCTAAAAATTGAGTTCTATTCAGAAAATTTTGAGAAAAAACAGCTTTTCCAGAAACGATTTTTTGTATTTTCAGAAGGAAAAGAAAACAGAAACACAATTATTTTGATTTGTAGACATAAGTTATGTATATGACCAAGACAAGCAGAGTAATTGAAATCAAAACAAGCCAACCATCAAAAGTACAAGGAAAATGTTTAAATTCTCATCAACCCATTAAAGAAAATGTCCCAGAAGATGAAGATTATGAAAAGCTTACCAACTGAAGCTTCTGTTTGACTCGAATTCTTCATAACGCTCAATAGCCCCAGTGATCGTCCTCGAAACCCAAGTCCTGAAAAGGAGAGAATTTGGGGAAGGAGAAGCGAATTTGGAGAGTGGTCAGTGAAATTGAGGGAAGTGTATGAGGTTTGTGAAATGGGTTTCATGAGAGATGATGAGAGAGAAGCCATTAAAGTCAAACTGTGGTGGTGAGTGAGAGAACTCAATCAAGATCAGAGCTTTCGAGTATTGATGTGAGAAATGGGTTGTTGTTTGCATTGCAGTCTATAAACAAGTTTGGTGGAAAGATTCGAAAAACTTGTGAAAAACAAAAAGGAACAAACAAACATGACAGTTTTCGATCCAAAAAAAAAAAAACAAAAAAACAAATATAGCAGTTTCACAAAATATTCTAGTCAATCAATCTGATATGTAAATTTTTTTTTTTTTTATAGGAAAAATTGGTCTAAGGTCCTTCTCCCATTTTTAGTAATGGAAGAGATTCACAAAATTATTTTTTAATGTCTAAGGTCCCTAAACATATATCAAAGAAATTTGACTCTTTGTCTCTTCTCACTCTCTGCTCTCTCTCTCCCCTACATCAAACCAGTGCTTCGTCTATCTCCCACCGCTGCCGAGGATCACCATCGTTTGCACACCGCCCATCGCAGCAACTCCGAACACACCGACACCGCGACCCAAGTCGCTGTTGGCTCACACCGACACTATACCAGCTTGCCAATCAGCACCGTCTTCACCGATCTTCCAACATATATACCTATGTATATGTATATAAGTATAGAAATTGTCCCTTATCTGGACGAAACTCGCAAAAATTTCGAAGCAAAGTTGGAGCATAACACTGAAAATTGAATCAATTTCACAAAAATAGTCTTTAAGATTGATGAATTACAAGAATAATATATATATATATATATAATTGTACATATATGATGAATATATGAAGATAAGGTGGTGATCGATAAGATGGATCAGGCTCAATGAAGTGTGAAGGGTTTTGCTTTTCTCCACAACCAACAGTGCCTTCCAGTGGACACGCAATGCAAATCCTCTTGATCTTTTTCCCATGGCCTTCCAACTGTGGGTTCAAATACAAGTGCTAGCAATATGGAAAGGTTTGTCTGGGATTTTCTCTGGATTGTGGAGTCTAGAGAAATTCTTTGGGTTGAGAGAATTTCTTTGGAAATATTTGTCTGGGAATTTTCTCTGGATTGTGGAGTCCAGAGAAATTCTTTGGTGAGAGAATCTCTGGAAATGTTTGTCTGGGAATTTCTCTGAGATGATGAAGATACAATACTGTGCTTGAAAAGGGGAAAATATGTGGTAATACTGTGCTTGAAAAGGGGAAAATATGTGGTTTAACTTTGTACTTATCATTAATTAACATAGTATTCTGTGGATGGAAATTATTTTTCACTTATTTTTCTTAGCAACCAAACAAACTTTATGCTTTATAGTTCACTTGAAATCCAAAGAAAATTCAAAGAAAATCCAGAGAAAATCTCTAGATTGGAATCCAAAATTTCTTTGACCTTCCTAGAATTTCTTTGGAGAGAAATTCTCTGCCATGTTTAATTTTCTCTGTCATGTGTAATTTTCTCTAGTTTGAACCCCTCTTCAAAGGAGATTGGGTTTTAGATAATGTGACTCATCCAATATACAGAGAAGATGAATATGAGTTCCTCACAGCTCAAGTTCATCTCTCTCTTTCTCTCTCTCGCTACTTGATCTTTACGCCATCTCACTAATCTTCAAGCAGTTCGATTTCATCTCTTATTCTCTCCAGAGAAATTCAGGAATTTCTCTGGAAAAGGCCAGAGAGAATTTCTATAATTTGCTTGACACCAAGAGTGAAAGCAAGCAAAGCATGCTGGTTAGGCGTCTGACCATCCTTGGAAATACCGGCTTCAAAACTACTAGTGGTGGAGTTGATGAAATCACGATGACCAGGAGCATCAATGACAATGCAGTAGTATTTGGTGGTCTCAAACTTCCATAAAACAATATCAATGTTCCTTGTTGAAAAATATTTCTCCAGTTGCAAATCATGCATGGATATACTTTGCTTCAAGAAATGATGTTGAAAAGAGAAAACATGATGGAGTGAAGTGCACAAACATGCCTGCAGAAGTATTCTTGATGTTGATACAATAATTAAACATGTTGCTGTTAGGGGAAATATAAGCAAATCAGTGTTGTTTGATGCTTGCATTTTTACCACGTTCACATTCAGAGGTCCAGAGAAATTTTGGGGAGAAATTTCTCTGGATGAGAATTTCTCTGGAGAGAAACTTCTCTGGGAAGTCCAGAGAAATTCTCTGGATGAAATTTCTCTGAATCAAATTGAGGGACCTTAGACATTATGAAAATATTTGGTGTCCTTTATACAATAAAATCTTCATACCAAGGACCTTAAAAAAAATCCCCTTTTTATATAGGTTTTCAAAATGATAAGGAAAGGATAAGACATGACAAGATTTGAAAGCCGAAAAATGAAATAATTTTTTTATTATTATTTTTGCATAGAATTAAATGTAAAATGTTTGAGAACTCTAAATTAATAGTTTTAAAAGAGCTTTAATGGGTGTAGGATTCATCCATTGATTTGATTTGATTTTTTTTTTTTTTTGATTTTTTACCTTGTTGTCTCGTTAGAGCTCCAAATTTAGAATTATGTATCATTGCTCGTATTGAATTTTAGTCATTCACTTTATTTTTTAGGATCACTTAAAAAATAAAAATTTATTTTGAAAAGTATGCTAAAAGTTAATTTTTTGATTTTTTTTTTAATTTTAAATTACTTGACAATGGAACATAGAATAAAAATTATAAAAACGTGAGAGGTGTAAGTGAATTTGTGGTGAGGTGCAAGTCTCACTTGCATTGCACCCCTCCATATTTATATTTTTTTTCACTGTTGAGCTAATTCTTTTTTTTTTTTTTTGAACTTTTTTTAAAAAAAAAGTACAAAAAAAAAAATAGAGAGATAATGTGACTTAAAAAATAAAAAAATTATGGGGGAATTACACTAACGGTCTCTATAGTTTGAGGCTTGTGCCACTTTGGTTCCTGACTTTTCAATTATGACACATTTGAACCTGAATTTTAAATTTTATTCCAAATAAGGATAATTGAATATGCCATTACTTAATTTCAATGGCAAAATTATCAATTTGATAAAATATAAATTAATTTGACAAAAATAAATGTCAAAAAAATATTTTTGAATTTTTAAAAATTATTTTTAACCCCAAAAAATAAAATTATATAAAAGTGAAAAATCGTTTAGACATTTATTTTTTATTATTTTTTTTGACAAATTAATTTTTATTATGTGTTTGGATGATGATCATGTAATGAGTGGTTGTTTTTATTTTCATTAAATTAGTTTATATTTTTTCAAAAGTCAAATATGGTGACAACTTTGATATTATTATCAACTAATCGATTAAATTGAAAAATCTAAAACTAAAAACATTTTATATATTAAATATATCGATTACACATTAAAATCCGAACATTTACCCGTTATATGATCATCATCTAAACACATAAAAACTAATATGAAAAAGTAAATATTTAAAAGATTTATCAATTTGACATAATTTTATATATGGTGAGTATAAATAATTTTTTTTAATTTTTAAATATTTTTTTGACATTTATTTTTGTCAAATTAGTTTATATTTTTATTAAATTGATGATTTTGGTCTTAAAATTAAGTAATAATATCTTCAATTATCCTTATTTAAACAATATTTAAGATTTATGATTAAATATGTCACAATTAAAAAGTTAAGAATCTAAATTATAGAAACTATTAATGTAATATGCTCAAAAATTAATAAACTAACTTTTAACAAGAAAAGAGACCAACATAGTACTACTTTAATTTAAAAGTTAGATTGGCTTCTCAAAACATGACATTAGAATATGTGATCTCTCATATTTTATGTAAGAAAAATTATATATAAATCAATTTTTTATATGTAAAATAGATGATTAGATGGTTAGAGAAGACATGAAGAGAAATAATTATTTTAAATATTTTAACACTATCCTTTTGATTATAAACCCGATTGACTTTTGAATTAGATTAATAATACCCCATCTCCATGGGATGACTTGGTGAAAAATATGATAAATAACTCTTCTTCTTATGTTGGGTTTGTAAGTTGAATGATAAATTATGAAAAATAAAACTCTATTTTGTTTTTCACCACTTTTAGTAAACCTATTTTATTTTTCATTATTTTTTTTTTGTGAGAGTTAGAGTATCTCCAACATTTATTATATTTTTTTTTCATCAAATTTGAATAAAAATTTGAGTAAAAATTTCATCTCATATCACTCTAACGGAGTAATTTGATATTTCATCAAACTCCCGGTTGACCGGGGATGTCCGGTCGGTCAACCAGATAGTGTAATTTGGTGAAAATTATGAGAAATAGCTCTGTTCTTATGTTGGGTTTGAATGATAAATTATGAGAAATTGTGAAAAATAAAACTCTATTTTATTTTTCACCACTTTTAGTAAACATATTTTATTTTTCACTTTTTTTTTTTTTTGGGGTAAGATTTAGAGTATCTCCAATGTATACCTTTTTTTTCCCCAGCAAATTTAAATAAAAATTTGAGTAAAAATTTTATCTAATATCACGCGTTTCAACGGAGTAGTTTGGGATTTCATCAAACCACTGGTTGATTGGGAGGACGACCGGGGATGTTCGGCCGGTCAACCTGACAGTGCAAATTTTCCAAATTTCTGAAACAAATTTTGTAAGGAAGTGGCCGAATAAAAGACAGCTGAGCGGTCATCCGATGCTCATGTATACCTGTAAAGCTAACAACTATCTACAGTAATTAAATGAAAGGCTTAGGCCATCTCCAACATTGCATCAAATTCAAATTTGATGAAAAAAGTCACTTTTCCCCCCTCCAATGGTTTCACCAAATTGATATCAAACTGAGAACGGAATAAAACTTTCATCAAACTGAGGACAAGCACGAGATTTCACCATTTCATTGTGCTGTAACGTTGGGGGTGGGCCAACCGGTCAACCAGCCAAATGTCCGGGCGGTTGACCCACAGGTCGACCGTGTCACGACCCGCTCCCCGTACCCAAGGGTTAAGTATCGTGATGGCTAGTAACTGAGGTTACCTCTGGCCAATTCATAAACAAATAAATAAACGCGAGCGAAAGTAATATATAAATGAGAGTACCAAAATAATCATCGGAGTTTCTATTTTTATTACAAAATCTATTGACTAAAAAGGCCGATATTTACATAGAAAAATATCATAAAAGTGTTGTGTCTGTCTATTCTGTAGCCCGCGTCTAAGACTTTCCAA